GAACAAAAAAAAAAAAAAAAAAACTTTATGTATCTATCGACATAACACACTCTTCAAAATTTATTGGCAAATGCTTTTCCTTTGAAAAGCTATTTGCAGAACAATATATAGTATGATTCTGTGTACAGCAAAACTATTATTTATTGTATATGTGACATTCGTCATTAGGAAATATTTTGACATGAATCCCTTTTACCTTTTGGTACTAGGGATTGAACTGAAGACCTTGTGCTTGCCAGGCAGGAACTATGCTGCTGAGCTAAATCCCTGGCCCTTCATACCAAACATTTTTAAATGGTTAGCTTTGTGAAAGAGAGGGAATTAGATAGTAAAAAATGCAGGCTTTATGTACAAATGTAATATTTTAAATTCCTAAAATAGATATTTGATTACATAATATGTGACCAACCAATACTGCAGATTTGTTTTGTAATGTAAATCAATAAGCCAAGTGTGGCGGTGCATGCCTGTATTCCCAGCACTCTGGGAGGCTGAAGCAGAAGGATTGTCAGCTTGAGCCCAACCTCACCTGTTAAGTGATTTAGGGAGATACTTTCTCAAAATAAAAAAAGGAAAAAAAAAATGAAGGCTGAGATATAGCCCAGTGTGAAGGCCCTGGGTTCAATCCTCAGTACCCCCCAAAAAAGAGACAGAGATTTAGCTCAGTGGTGCTGCTGCCTGCCTGCCTCGCCCTTGTAAGGTCCCGAGTTCAATCCCCGGTACAAAAAAATATGGTACATCATTAATCAGTAGTCAGAAACATTTGTTTGTAGCCATAAGTACTTTTATTATTAAAAAATTAAAAGGAGCAAGCCAGATATCGTGCATGCCTGTAATCCCAACACTGGGAGACTGAGGCAGGAGGATCACATTTGAGCCTAATCTCAGCAGTTTACCAAGTTGGCAAGGCTCTGTCTCAAAATTTTTAAAAAAATTTTAAATACCAGGGATATAACTCAGTGCAAAGGCCCTGTGTTCAATCCCTAGTATCAAAAACAAGAACGAGAGGGAGAAGGAGGAATAGGCTGTGGGTATAGTTTAGTGGTAGAGTGCTTGCCTAACATGCACAGAGTCCTGGGTTTGATACCTAGCACCCACTCACCCCCAAAAAAGAAAATAGACTAAGAAAAAAGTACTTGATAAAATGAAGAGCACACTCCAGAAATAAAAGACAATAAAGTAGACACATTTCTGGCAAAAAAAAAAAAAAAAAA